AAGATAGCAAGCACTGTTGAGGACCTGGGAAAGGGGAATGCTTGCACACTGTTGGTGTAAAATTAGTAACACCATTATGGACAACAGTACCTCAAAAAGTTAATATAAAACCACCATATGATCCAACCCACCTGGGTATATATCCAAAGGAAATAAGCTCAGTATGTCAGAGAGAAATCTGCACTCACATGTTTATTCAGCACTATTCACAATACCCAAAATAAAATGGAATCTCTGTAAGTATCCAACTGATAAATAAGTAAGAAAAATGTGGTACATACACATAATGGAATACTATACGGTTATCAAAAAGACAATTTTTGACATTTGCAACAGCATAGATGAACCTGAAGGATAGTATGTTAAGAGAAATAAGCCAAGCACAGAAAGACAAACGCCTCACGGTCACATCCAAATGTACTTTTAAGGAATTGGGAAGAATGTTACTAACCTCTAACACAGTTTCCCTCTTGGCAGTTAAAATATTTAACTGTATGATCTACTGGTTTCCTTTATTTTTTTTTCTTTTTTGGATTATATCTAAATTTAATATTGAAGGCAGCACAACTCAGCATTTCTGTGGCTTAATCTTATTTTCCATGATGACATGTGCATTTCTTTCAATTACCTTAAAAATTATTAGAATTTCAGAGATTGGTTCAGAGCTTTTCCTGTATTCTAATGTTCTGCCTTCTTTTACTCATGATTATGATCATACACAATGTTGTACTTCTCCTGCTTGAAGATATTTCAGGAAAAATCATTTTAATAAATGTCATATGCAATATATTTTGCAAGAATTACCTCCTGAATTTGAAATTCCAGAAGCTATAACTCTGTAAACTGACATGCTTTAACTTAAATCTTAATACGCAAAATACAATTTAAGGCTGAATTGGCTTCTACATAAAACTGTTTGTAAATAGCCTAAGGTAAGGGGTGTCTTTCTAAAACCAGTGTCATTATTCCTTCTGAGTCTTCAAAGAAAGTCTGTGGCTTTGGTTTATTTATGTGTATATGATAGCATGTCTCCAAAGAAAGCACAATTTTAAGTATCAAAGATATTAAATGTAATGAAGACCAACATGATTAAACAACTAATATCTTTGAACTACATGTAGTCATGGGATTACTTACCCATAAAGTTTTAATATGGGTTTTCACCTCACATAGGAAAAGAGTAATATTAGAGATAGTCTGATTGCATAGAAAGGGCATTGATTTCCCCAGAGTAAGGGGCAGCAAAGTAAAGCCCGGGACGTTATGTTAAATGAAATACTCCAATCACAGAAAAATACCATATGGGCCCGCCCCCTATTTTTTTAAATAAAGTTTTATTGGAACACCACACTTGTTTGCTTATGCATCGTCCATGCCTGCTTTCATACTACAGTGGCAGAGCTAAGGAGTGGCAATAGGGACCATCTGGTCCCAAAAGCCAAGGATATTTGCTGTTTGGCCACTTGCAGAAAAATGTTGCCTTCCCCTGTGCACCTGGTTGGCTTCTTCCAAAGAAGGAGCTAGAAGTTCTAGAGAGGTGGGATGCTGAAAACCAAATTACTAGCGCCACCATTATTTCTTGTAGGAGTAGAGAAAGGTTTAGGGTGTCATTCTCAATTTGTCACAGGAGTCCATGGTTCCATTCATAATATTTTTGAATTCTGGATGAGAAGTATTGTGACATTTTCCTCATGTGTATGATCATTTGTATAAATTATGTAGTTGAAAATGTATGTTTTAATAAAAAACATATTTCGAGACATATAGTTAGATAAATAGCAGAGAAGGCAGACACCAGAAGTGCTCATGCTGAGCACTAAGGGCTGAGATGGTAGCCCAGAAAGTGATCTGAAAGATCAAGTCAGAACCATTGGACAAGGTAGGCTGCAAGATGGGAAAAATGGCTGTGGAGCCCTTGCAGAGAAGCCCCAGGCCTGGCTGCAGGTGGGACCAAGAGGCCGCACTTCTGACAACCCCTTCATTTACTGCTACCACACAAAGCTGAGCAGAGAAACATATGTTAGAAGGAAGAACCAGCTCTACCAACTGCTTCTATTGCAGGATTTCCTGGATCTCATTGGGGAGCCCCAGAAAGATGCTCAGACCTGACCGACTCCATTCTTCATGTCATCAGGCAAGCTTAGTCATTGGAAACTGCACTTTAACTCTCCTGAATATCTCCTCTTTTTGTACCCTGGGTTCAGCAAAAATAATAAATCACTTTTGAAATACCTCTCATTTTGTGCTGTCAGTCAACCGCCTCAGGGTACAACTGTCTACTATGGAGAACAAGATAAGGAACCCTAATTAAGGTTTGGACATGCAAACCCAACTCATAGTTCTCATTCCTTCCCACTGACTACCATAAAACACATTATTATTTTTATGATAACATTTGCATTGTCCTTAACAGTTTCTACAGCATCATCATATTATCCTAATCTACAAGAGTTGCTTTAATAAGCACAACACTTTTTATCACCACAAGATCAGGTCAAACAGCAGCTCCACATCATTCAGTGTCATTCCTAAGGTTGCACAAGTAAGGACTAAAAAAATCAAATTGGCTCATAACCCAGCGTTCTTTTTACTGTGACACGTAGCCTCCAAGGAACCCAGATAGTTTGAGGATGTGTTGTGCAGTAGACCAAATTCATATGTTGAAGCCTGAACCACCAAACATGGAAGTAACCAAGGTTAACTAAGGTCACAGGGGTGAGGCCCTGATATGTTAGGATTAGTGCCTTTATCAGAAAAGACACTGCAAAGCTCACTCCCTCTCTCTCCATCATATGAAGTCACAGTGAAGAACCCCAGGAATCCTTCACAAAAACCAGGTTAGTCAGCACCCTGATCCTAGACCCCAGACTCTCCAGAATGATGGGTATAAATGTCAGTCATTTAATTTCTCTAGTCCATAGTATTTTATTAGGGCAGACTGAGAAGACTAAGACACATTACTAAGATTAACGTTGAGGTGAAGTAAATTCTGGAAAAAGGAATGGTGTTTTTGGCCATAGTCCAATATAAACTCAGAAGCCTGGCAAAGTGGCACACGCCTGTAGTCCCAAGGATTACAGGAGGCCAAAACAGGGGGATCCCAAGTTTGAGGCCAGCATCAGCAACTTAGCACAACCCTGTCTCAAAAATTAAAAATAAAAAAGTAAAAAGGGGTGGGATACAGCTCAGTGGTAAAGCATGCCTGTGTTCAATCCCTACTACCCAAACAAAACAACAAAAAGGACAAGAGGTGAAATTTCTTCTTGCAATTGCTCCCAAGCCATCTAAGACATGTAAAGCAGAAAACAATGTTAAAATAGATGATGGTAAAATGAATGCCTGTAAAGCAGAGCCTTTGTTGGGGTTCAGTGGCTGAAACATGAGAGGTTATGTTATGTAAACCTCCTAAGCCAAATTTACTGATCTGTACCTGAGAGGATCAAAGCAGACCCCAACATCTAGGAGGTGGCCTGCTACCATCGCCCAAGCCTCGATGTCCTCTAGTCAGATGTAAATAATTCCATAGAACATCAGACATGGCACTCTGTGATGAACCAGGACAAAAACCAGTCAACTCCATAGCCACATCTGAACCTAGACAAAATGTGAACATGACCCAAGCCACAAAATACCCGACTCTTACCTTCCTGACCACTGATTTATTGGTAACCTAAGTCTAGTCCTTCCTCCCTGTGCAGAAGAACTATTGAGGTCTTCGATCATAGAACTACCCCTGCTTCCTGACATCATCTGATCCAGAGCAAAACTCTATCTTTTCCCCAAAATCACCTATCACATGCCCAAGTCCCATCGGTCCTTTCTAACATCGGCTACCTGAGACTCTCCACCATCTTCCATTCTCTCCACATGAGGAGTAATAAACCCACTGTGCTCAACTACAGTAGTGAAAACCAGAGGCTCCATCCATTCCAAGTCCCCAATGGACGATTGAAACCACAGAGAGTAAGAAACCCTAGACACAGTGTTTTTTCCTATACATATGTACCTATGATAAAGTTTAACTTATAAAGGAGGCACAGTAGAAGATTAGCAAGAATTAACAATACAGAAAGTATAACAATAAGAAAGAAAGGTCATATGAATGTGGCCTCTTGAAGTATCCCGTACTGTACTAGCCCTTCTTTCAAACCATGCTTGGCCATGGCTAACTAACCTGTGGGCAAGGGGCTAATGTACAGCTGTGCTCCCAGAAGACTTTGGCTACAGGGCATTGATTACTCAGCAGTTGAATAACGTGGCCCTGACTGGCACTCCCTAATTTTGTTTGTCTCTGGAGAAACCATTGGTGAACATATCTTACAGACAAATAGAAGCTTAAAATTCTAAACTTTACATCCCATGGTCAAGTTTTACCAATTTTTTTTCCTCTTGTTTTAGAGGGAGTCAGAAATTAGACTCAACTGTATTGAAGGAATTTACCACACGTGGGGTGTTAAAGAACCATGAAGCCCCTCCTGGTTAAGCGCAAATCTCTCTACTGGTTGTCTTCCAACTCAGAGGTATAAAGCCAAGAAACAAAGTACCACAAATGTGAGCTTCTGTCTTTTTTGCCACTGTTGAAGGTGTTTGTCAAATTGATTTGCCCAGCATCCCATCTCCATTTTCCTTCCCTCTTTAGGTTACCAGACCCTTTCTTTCCTGCAGGTAATTAACTCATTGAAGGTGGTTAACCCACTTCAAAACCACTCATTTAACCAACAAGAAACCATTTATAACTCCATTAATTTATGAACTCAACTCTGGACTGTAAATTTCTGGCCAAGGTCATCCAAAAGCTACTCATCCCAGAAGCATGAGGTTCTGATTAGGGGCTTCAAATACCAGCTCGCCAACCCAAGGGTGTGGATTATATAAGCCCACGTCACCTTGTTCCCACAGAGAATGAAACCCCACCAAACCTTAATGTTATTGAAAAATAAGTAAACCTGACATGTTCTCTAGAAACTTCTCCATCTTATTCTCAGAGTCTTGGAACATACCACAAAAACAGGGTCATTGGCAGCTGAATGTGGCTGAGCATTTGTCCCATTCAGGAAGGCGTGGACCAAATTGTGAAGGTTGGCCACTTGAGAGTCGATGGTCCCGTCTGCTTTATCAAATCCTTCCAGGGCATTCCTGAGAGAAACCAGAACATCAGAGATAGCAGGCAAAGATGGAGAAAGGCCTCTTCTCATGGTTTCCAGCCTAGAAGGCCACTTCTAATCCAGGGCATATGAGAGGCTCTGTCAATGCTACTTGAGTAAGCCCAGACCCGTGATGTTAATCTTCCATAGGGAAGGAATTCTTAATCCACACTACTTCTGCCTCTGTCCAGTTAAAATTTATCTTCATACTCCATGACAATTATTTACCTTCATACCTGCCTCTCATGCTCTTGAAGGTCAGGGTCTGAGTTCCCCCTCTTTTTTTAATAGCCAAAGTCAAATATCCTGCCATGATGGTGTGTGACTGATAAATTAATATCTAATCTTACCTATGCATATTTCTCAACTAAACAGATCTTCACCTTGACTGTAACACATAATATCCTAAACATATCCCAGTATTCCCAGTATCTTTCTTTATGCCTTAGGAAAGAATTTCTCAGGAATTTTAATTGTCCATATCCTAACTCAGTGATTCTTATTAAATCTAAGCACACCTGAGAATCACTGGAGAGAAAATCACCCCCTACTCCTAGAGTATCTGATTCAGGAGGTGTGGGCTGGGTCCCAATAATTTGCATTTTTCTAACCAATTCCCAAGTGCTACCACATTTTGGGGGGAGCACTCTCCTAACTCTAATCCATAGGAAATGCAAGCTAATTTAATAGTATTTTTGTCATAATAAAAAACATGCATGTTCCTTTTAAAAACAATATTAAATGTTGCCCTTTACCTATCTTTGACACTACTCTGCTGTATCCAACTCCCGCACAGAAACTGGGCCCTGCTACACCTACACAGCTTCTGCACTTCAGTTCAGCCTACTATGCCTTTGGCCCCAGACAAGTTGTACAATTTCCATGAAGTTAAAAGAGAGAGACTCTAGTTTTGGAGAAGACGATAAATATATCCACCATCCCTTTTGGAAGTCCTCTTCCTCTTCATTAAAATCTTATTTCTGTACTACTTCTCATAATTCTTCCTAAGTCTTTTGGGGGTGGAAGAAAAGTAATAGCTGGTCTTCACATTTTGAGCACTGGAATGCCATTGCTGTGCCATAATTTGAGTTGAATCGATAATTTAGACTCCAATATTAAGGTCTGCGGCTGATAAATTTCTAATGTGACCATTAAAACCGAAGAAAAGAAAAACAAGCAGCACGGGCATTTTTAAAGCACTATAATTAACAAGATGCCATGGTCCCAGAGACTATACCTAGATAAAGAGAAAAATCAGAAATAAAAAAGGTGCTTTTGGACAGCTGAGTTCAAAGGGAAGAAACTCTACCATTGGCTCCAGTGTGTGGATGAAGACTTCCCTGATGCGGATGCCTTACTTCCTCTTATTAAGCCCCTCTCGTTACTCAACTCGGAGAAGTATCCCAGTCCCTGGATTTCCTTCCAGGTTACCTCAGCTCCAAACTGAAAATCTAAAGGTGTTGTAAAACAGCTTGAGCACCAACCTGAAGCTGAAGGTGGAGTTCTGGAAGAAAGGAGGACTGTCAAACTTGGGGAGAGACAGACAATCTTGTACATTTTTTAAGGTGGGCAGTTTCTCACTGTTTCTTCCCACTCGGTTTCTTCTCAGGAAACCTTCATAAGTGCCATTACACAGGGTGACCCGGCGGTTGTAGTCATCCAGACTAAGATTTAGAAGATTAAAAAATAATATATTTTAACTCATGAATATAAATTTGGGTCAAACAATCATATTCATAGTTATGGTAAAAATTTTGTTAGTTGCTAAAAATACTACCCCTGAAAATAAGTACGGATCAAGAAGTGTAAGAATGTAAGAGGCACAAAATATGAATACAAGGATAATGTGATAATAATTACTGTTCCATTGAAAAGAGAGTAAGAGGCCCTTTAAGCAAAATGGCAACTCCTATGATGGGCATCTGGATCTGGGACAGCACAGTTGAGATCAGGAGGAGCCACATTACAGTGAGCCAAGCCAGTTTTGGTGGAAGTGACTATGTAGATATAGGAAAGCATTTCAGGCAAATTGCAGGCAAACAAGAGATGAACAGCATAAAAGCAGATGCGACTCTACAGAGGAAAGGTTAATCAAAAAATTATTTTAAGCCAGGTGCGGTGGCACACACCTGTAATCCCAGAAGCCTGGGAAGCTGAGACAGGAGGATCTATGTTCAAAGCCAGCCTCAGCAACATCAAGGGGCTAAGCAACTCAGTGAGACCCCATCTCTAAATAAAATTCAAAATAAGGCTGGGGATGTGGCTCAGTGGCTGAGTGCCCCTGAGTTCAACGCCCGGTACCCTGTCAAAAAATTATTTTAATGTTAAAGGAGATGGAAATGTTAATTACCTCAATTGGATTATTACACACTGTATACATATATCAAATTATCACACTGTACCCCATAATTTATACAATTAAAATAATAATTAACATTTTAAAAGAAGGAACACCATCTCCAGAAATGTGCGATGGCTACATGGCAAGCAAGGGGCTGACAAGGTCCCATAAAACACATTCTGCACAGCCATGGTGACCTGGAATTCCACCTTCAGACCACTGGTTCACTGACAGAGCTTTAAAGAGGTTACTGTGTGAGGGTTTTTAAAGGATTTTTGTTGTTTGCTTGTTTGTTTGTTTTAGTTGTAGATAGACATAATACCTTTGTTTTATTTATTTATTTTTATGTGGTGCTGAGGATCAAATCCAGGACGTTGAATGTGAATTTTAAAAGCTAAGGGATCATGTCTGCTGTGGAGAATGGAATGAGCACACACACGGACAGAAGCAGCCAGAACCCAAACACTAAGCAAGAAAGGCCTCCAAGTCAGCATTTCCCAAAGTGTGTTACAGGGAGATGGGCTGTGAAATAAGAGTCTTGGGATCTGGTCAACTGAGGTTCCTCTTGAAGAATAATAGTACATTTATCTAAGGATAGCTAAGGCTCAGAGATATTCTAAAATTAAAAAAAAAAAAAAAAACTCTTAAATTCAGCTTTCTCTAAACACATGATCACAAACACCTCTTGACACATCACCTATTAATATCCAAGACACTATGGGAAATGGCACTTTATAGAATTAAGAAATTCAGATAAAAACAGATGGGTTATTCCACTTATCATGGAGCCTGGAGCCCTGTCCTGCTGCAGGACATGTGAGGGATGTGGAAGATGAGGTCCCTGTCGAGGGGCATGGGGCATGGGGTCCTAAGAACACATGCCTGTCCAGGCTCAGTGCTGGCCATGGGCCAGGAGGTGTGCTGAGCTCAGTGCCCAGGTGCAATCTAAAGATGGAGAGGCAGAGTAGTGGGGTTAAAAGCATGCGGGGGGACTGGGGTTGTGGCTCAGTGGTAGAGCGCTTGCCTTGCTTGCTTGAGGCCCTGGGTTCCATCCTCAGCCCCACATAAAAATAAATAAATAAAATAAAAATATCATGTTCAACTACAACTAAAAATAAAAGGGGGTTTGGAAGAAAAGAAATGAATAAAGGCAGGCAGAGGATCCTCTTGGAAAATTGTTTTCTGAGATACAATTGTCCGCCCTTATCTGCAATTTTGTTTTCCATGGATTCAGTTACCTGAGGTCAACTCCAATCTGAAAATATAACTGTGATACACTAAGGAATTAAGATATTCTGAGAGAAAGAACACATTCACATAACTTTTATTATAGTGTTTTTATACTTGTATTTTATTATTACTTATGGTTAATCTCTTACTATGTCTAGTTTATAAACTTTACCAAAAGAATGTCTGTCTAGGAAAAAACATGATGCATATAAGATTTAGTACTAGCCAAGGTTTCAGGCATCCACTGGGGTCTCGGTACACATCCCCCCTAAAGTCAGATAACTGTACTGTGCCCAGAGACAGAAATGGGTTCAGGGAGTCTTTGAGGAAAGAATGATTCCTAGGCTGCAGGTCACTTACCTTCTAATGTGGTCTTTAGGGGTTCATAGGACATACTCCCATCCCCCTCAACTGCATCTTATGGTCCAGACACAGCAGGCTGCTTCCAGAGACTTTCCTAGTTTCACACATGATGTTCCTTCCACCAAGGACACACCTGCCACCCTCCCACACTCTCCTCACCCTCCCTGATACCTGACTGAGGTCTGTGCCTTCTTGAGTCTCAGAACAATCATCTCCACTCGTTGGGGACTTGTCCTGACTCTCTTCCTGGCTTTGCATGTGCACCGGTTATAGTACTTCTCAGACTAAATGGCAATTCATTACAAGAAATCTATCTTGCAAAATACAAAAGTATATAAAAAGGGAGGCAGTACTTTAGTCATCTTGCATTCCTAGCAGTATCGCATCCCTAGAACATGATTGGTACTTAGCAAAGGTTGACTGAATGCAGGAACTACTCCTAATTTTAAAACAGTTGATCTCAAAGTGATGGCCAAGCATATTCAATTCACAGTGTAATTTTGATATATGTACTTTTTTTTTTTTACTAAAGAGCTTAGAATTTTAAAAATTCCACCTCCCAAGGGAAAGTTATTTTCAGAAACATTAACAAAACCCTACATAGAGTACATTAAAAACAGAAATCTAGCTAGGTGTAGTTTGCATACCTATAATCCCAGCAACTCTGGAAGCTGAAGCAGGAGGATTACAAGTTCAAGGCCAGCCTCAGCAATTTAGCAAGTCCCAAAGAACTCAGTGAGACCTTGTCTCTAAATAAAATATAAAAAAAGGGCTGGGGATATTGCTCAGTGGTTAAGCACCCCAGGATTCAATCTCTGGTACCAAAAAAGGAAGAAAGAAAGAGAGGGAGGGAGGAAGAAATCATTCTAATGAAACAACATCCATCTCTCAGCCACATAAGACAGTCTTGGGCTCTCTACTGCAATGCATATGTCATTACCTGTCACAGACAATTTTCCAGCTGGAAAATCTTGAGTTCTCACTGATCAGAGTGGGATCATCTTGTCTTGCTGCCCCCAGCAGCTGGTCTGTGCACACATCACACTCGTTCTTGCCAGTGGCAAAGTTCCAGTACGGCAAAGCAAACGACGCATTTCCAGTGAGTCTCTAAAAGCAAAGGTCAGGTCCAGTCGTTAAATTTCTTCAGATGCAATGGGAAGGCATACAAGGTAAAGACCGGCAGGTGTCTTGACCAAATGCATTGTGAGATTAAAGGTATAACAGGTGGCTGAATAAAGAAATACATTCATGCAATGTTGTTCAGCCTTTATAAAAAAGAAAACCCCACCATTTGCAACCATAAAAATGAACATAGAGAACATTATGCTAAGTGAAGTAAGCCAGATAGAGAAAGAAAAATTCTGCATGATCTCACTTACTAAAAAAAAAAAAAAAAAAATCAAATACATAGAAACTGGTGGTTACCAGGGATGGGGCAGTGGGAGGCAGAAGGGAAGATGCAGGTCTAAAGGTACAAAGTTGCAATTGTGCAGGATGAATCAGTCTAGAGGTCTAAGGTACAACCTGAGGACTGTGCCTCATAATATTGTACTATGTACTTGCAACTTGCCTATACAGATCTTAGATACTCGTAACACTCACTAAAAAGAAAGTTAGCTATATGAGATCCTGAATATGTTAATTTTATTGTCTGTAGTTATCACTTATCTATGGATACCAAGACAAGCATGTCAAAACATCATGTTGCAGGGCTAGGGTTGTGTCTCAGTGGTAGAGAGCTTGCCTGGCATGTGTAATGCCCTGGGTTTGATCCCCAGCACCACATATAAAATAAAAGAGCCATTGACAACTAAAACATATTTTTTAAAAAAGCATCATGTTGTACAGTACTCATTAAATACATACACACACACATATATTTTTTTCTAATTAGAAGTATCAAACATATAAGTTTTGACCAACCTGCAGATCTCTTTCCAGCCACAACAAGTGGTACCGGTGCCAGGTAACAAAGGCAGGCCCTTGGTGTGAGAAATCTATGGCCTTGTAGGGGCGCCCTGGTCCTAAAATAATTGGGAAACATATTAGAGATCACAGAATAGGATATTTAAAATGTTAACCCTTATCTGGGATGTGTCTATACAGCCACAATACTTTAGAAAAAATATATATATAATTATATGTTTATAAAATATAAAATATATTTATGTTTATATGCTTATAAAATATGTTTACAAAAGATAAAATATATTTTTTCTAAAATATCTATATTTTTTCTATATATGGTTTTTATTTCTTCAAAGGCAACAGTAGCAATAATGACAAAGGAATTTCAGAAGCCACTAGCACTTTTAGGTTAAAATTCCTTTCATTTCCTAAAAGCCTAATTTTAAGCAGAAAGCCAGGAAATTCAAGTCATGCTCAGCATCAAGAGCCCCATTACACAACAGCAATTCATTAAGAAGAAAGAGAGTATCCAAAGTGTAGACCATTCAGAGCAAAATGAAATATATACTTTTTAAAAAGACATCTTCTAACCCATTCCTTGCAAATGCATAAATTGATAAGGGAAGGATTAATTAATAATATAGCAACTTCGACCACACTTAGTCCTAATGCAGCTTTTGTAGAACCAAAGAGAACTTTCGTGGATTCATCCTTGTCCATCAATCAGCTACAACAGCTAGCTGACAAGCATGGTTGCTGAGACCAGAGAGAGAAAACTACATCCAAACCAATTTGGCTGGCCACTGGAACTGCCAATTCAGTGAAACGCTTTGGGCAATTTAATGCCTTCCTGGCTGCCTGTTCCATCCTTCTTCCCTCTTTCATAACAGCTTTTGATGGTTATGTAGAAACTTTAGCTAACTTTAGTTCTTTTTCAAAGTACCTATAATAACTTCAGAGAGCTGAACAGACATGAATATAAATTTAATTCCTAGATATGACCAGAAACTAAAGTTTTCTTTTCCTCTTGAGAGACTACCCTCTCATAAAGCAAAAATTCCTCAGAGTGATGACAGGAAAACTATAAAGGTTGATAGCTGGAAGAGCCACCTTCCCTATCGATAAAGAAAGACAGATGCTTACCTGAAAGGCAGGTTTTTAAAAGACTTATACCAAAAGCAAACTGCTATTGCTGCCATTGGCTACAAAATTACAAAGTCTTTTTTATTTTTTTAAGTGTTTTAATCTAGCACAAAGTTTCAAGTCCTCCAAAAGTAATAATAAGGAGGCATAAGAGACAAGGAATAAGGAATGCCCACAGGTGGGCAATACCAAGTGAGAAGTGCACCATTTCAAGTGAGTTCAATGTCTCTATTCACCCTCATCCCAATGAGGGAACTCCAAAGTAGGACCAGTTACAGGTATAGCTAAGCGTGTACAGCTGCCATGAGAAGAATCTAGAATGCATCCATTCTCCTGGAACAAACTGATGGCTTCTCTCAACTGATAAATAACTCAGGATGAAGCTACACCTATTTGGTTAATGAGGTTCACAGAAGACAGTCTTCCAGTCCAACTCTTGTCCAGGACCAGGAAGGGTCCTTGATATTTCTCAAGTATCATTTGCATTTCATGTTTTCTCAAGCATCCAACGTAACCGTGGTCTGCAAGGCCAAACAGGAGGAACTCTAACATTGTTGTGACCCAGCTTGTATTTTTCCTTGACAATACAACTCCAAAAAGCCTGGGCATTTCTAACACAGCCTGGGAACCATGAGTGATGATATAACTACAGTCTAAAGACCCGGGAGGTTAAAGTACTGCCCACCTCCCACAGGAGAACTCCAGTTCTGCACAAAGGAGCGTCATGTGCTTTGGCACTTGTTCAGTTAATTCCTCTAATTGGAAGAAGAGGTCAGAGAGGGCTTCCATAGCCAGATTTGTAATTTTTTTTTTTTCTGGAATGGAAAGGAACTTGCTCTCACTTCACCGACTCATGCCTTTGAAGATTAAGGGCTTCATGGAGAACAGCTTAGACTTTGAACCAAACAAACTAGAGGAGAGAACCCTTTGAAATGTCTGTAGCCAACATACAGGAAGAAACTGCTGCCTTCTGCCTTCAGGTAGCATTTGGTGATTCTGTGACTCTGATAAACCTAGCCCTGCCTTGAGGTTGCTCTCTTGTTAATTAACTAGTGTCAAAAGACTCCCTACCCCTTCTCCCCAGCAAACACAAACCTGTAATAAACCTTACGCCAAGGGGAAAACCCACCTAATAGTGTATCTCTAACAGAATAATAATGCAGCCACACAAAAAAATCATAAATGCTGCAGTTGGCGATCTGTGGCTCAGTCCTACTGGGCCCAAGCAGGCCCAGCCAGTGCTGGGTAGTGATCACGTAGTCAGGGTGGGTCCTCTTCTTGGCGAGGTCTAAGGCACCCAAGAACTGCTCCCTTTCCTGAGGGGTCAAGGAGTGAATGTTCCGTCGAACAACTGGTGGCTTCCTCTGATTGCAGTTGGGGCCCAACCAGCCAAATTTGCAGTCTCCACAGTTGTAGCCAGCAAAGTTTCCTAGTATAAAAAGGGAAAGATGAAAGAAAAAGTAGGTTATATAGTTTGGAAGAAATTTCTGAATTGGAATCTTGGAGTAGAATTGAAGAGAACATGAAGGTGCTTAGAAAAGGGTAAAGACAAGTCAACTTGTATGTGTAGCGTGCACACAGACACACACACACGCACACACACACACACACACACTGAAGACCAGGTGAAGCCTGGCAGTGAAGCAAGCCAGTGAGAGAGGCCTTAGAAGAAACCAACCTTGCTGTTGACACCTTGATCATGGACTTCCAGCTTTAACAAATGTGAAGAAATAAAGTCCAAAACAAATAATAGTCAATTGACTTCCCTTAGTCTCCTCTCAAAATCCAAGTGAACTGAGCATCAGAAATAACTTGGCTAGAAATATTCCCAGCAAAGAAACAGGGTATGAAATGCATGAGCACTGTTATAAGCTGAACTGTGTCCCCTCAAAATGCACAAGTACTGATCCCCAGTACCTCAGCCTGTAACAGTACTTAGAGCTCAGGTTCTTACAGAGGAAATCAAGGGCCAGAGCTGAAGCTCAGTGAAGCGCTTGCCTAGCAAGTTCAAGGCCCTGGGCTCAATCCCAAGTACCACACAAAATAAGAATAAGAATTTAAAAAATAACATTAAAAGGTAATTAAAACAAAATTGGGTCATTGAAGTGGAACCTAATTCGCCATGATCGGTGTCCTTATAAGAGGAAATAAAGACTCATGCATGGTTGAAAGAGCTGTGAAGACCCAGGAGAGGACCGCCATCCATGAGCCAACAAGAGACTTTCCGAAAAACCAACCCTGCTGGCATTTCGACCTTGGCTTCCAGCCTCCAGAACCGTTTAAGCTCCCCCGCCACTGGGGCCACCCGGGTCACCCTGTCCCCACCATGGTACTTGGTTCCCATAGCCCCAGCAAACCGATGCGTGCTGCACGGCCTCTTGCATACCGTACAACGTGTTCTAACCTGTTCCTTACAAATGCACACACCCATAGTGCATAAATTGGACATGTCCCTTCTGATGTCCCCCCATGCCGCCTCGGGATGTCCTCAAGGAGCCGGCTGACCACGTGGCGTATACCACAGGGCTGGCTCAGAGCTGTGCAGCGACATTGAGAGTGAAGAGAATGCACCCGAGCAAAAGTGGACCCATAAGATAGAAAGAGACAAGCTGCCCGCCAGGAATTGGGGTGAAATCTGACATTTAAATGCTGTTTACTTCACCAAGGAGCCGGCCTTGAGACGAAATCAAGGGTGGCCGGCAGGTGGTAAAGGTGAGTTGGCGGCCCTGACGGGCAGGTTTCCGGCCAGCAGCTCTGTCCCCGCTTTGTCACCAGTGGTACCAAGCCCCAGGCAGGTCTCTGAGAGGCGCCTCAGGCTACATTCTTTTAGCCTGCCTCTGATTTCCCTCTCGCCCTTCTGCTTGTGGACATCCTCAGGAGGTGAGGAGCCAGAGAGCAGATTTAACTCCTGTGGGTGGAAAGGCCCAGATGCTCCTCTGGCTGAAGACCACCCACTTGCACTCACCCTCTCCCTCCACCACAGGCCTCCAGATGCACTTCTGTGCCCCTCCCTGTGCCTGCAATACTTTTGCCTGTCCTGCTAAATTCCTCCCTGCCCCGGCTACCAGCCGGTCCCTGCAGCTTCACAAGGGGTTCTCCACACTGTCATTCCTCTCTCTCTCTCTCTTTTTTTTTTTTGGTTTGCTTGTTTTGTTTTGTTTTAATGGTGGCCTTGAACCCAGGGCCTCACACAGGCTTAGCTAGACAAGTCCTCCTGTATGATCCTTTAAAGGAAACAGCATGAACACAAAGTCATTTGTGCTTGTACCCTGCAAAGAAAATGCAGAGGCTTCCCTTTTCATTAACCCAACAGATTTTTTTTTTTGATAGAAAAGAAAATTTCATTAAAAATACAATAGGTAGGGAGAACTAAATACAAAAATAGTTATTTGGGTCCTATGCTCCCTTGTTACATACAAAAATATTTTAGCTACTCTTAGATATGTCAGTTTTTTGTATTTTCCCGTTTCAGTACCCTGCAAGAACATAAGTGAAAATAGGCAAAAATACTTAAAAATTATTTTTCCAGGTTGAAAATCATGTTTTTTTAATAGTGTGAGTTAAATAATGAAATGTATGTGGATGACTGGAATAAGGCTATTAAATACATGGTATTTATTAGTAAGTATTTATTGAGCAGATACTATAATACTATTCGATTTACAGGATGCTTCCAGCTTCATGGAACTTGAAATCTATTCATTTTCCCTCAGGCAACCTTACTAAAATTCTACAATCTCTATTATTAACAACAAATTTGATTAAACCTAGACTGGCAGATTTTACAGTAAAAGGAAATTTTTCAACATGTGATTGAGCAAAATTCTGTGCCTGAAGAGTATTAACTATCCAGAGGAGAATTTGGTTAAACTTCCAGCTGTCTTCCTGGAGCTGGGTTAGATGATGGGAGGTAAATGTACAGTCACTGCTCTACAATTGGAGAGTCGTTCCTTGCTGCAAAATGCTAAGAAACCTGGTGATATTGATGTGTCACTGACCACACAGTCATACCAGTGCAGGAAGGATGTGCACAGTGAAGGATGCGGGGGACCTCGGAGGGGTGCAGGGTATATGTCCTCTCTGTTCAATTTTTTTTTAATCTAAAACCATTCTAAAAATATTTTTAAATGCTAAGAAATAACACACTGAAGGTTTATAATAGTAAATTCAATACATACCAATAGATAAAGGTGCAAAAATTGTTTTTGAATCTTGGGGGTCGTGTTGTTGAAGTTGAGTAATTTGCAACTTTATTTGGTGAATTTTGCAACTATACACTTTCTTTATTGTGATTGCTCTTGGTTGATAGAAATGAAATTATCGATAACTGATAATTTATGAAGGAAATAATTCCCTGACCATCACTACTTGTGGAGCAGTCAAACTAGACATGCCTTGATCGTGGGCAAGGCTGTGCATAGGGGAGGATTGGGCACAGGGGGTATGGGCAATTCCTAAAGTTAGCTAATGGCTAACTTTACAGTGAAACTAAAATTGTTCTAAAAGTAAAGTTTGAAAGAAAAAAAATCTCAGCACGCCTTCCTCTGTGCTCCTATAACTTTTTGTACTTTGATTCAGATGAGTTGGCAACTTTGAACTTAACCTCTCAGAGCCTGTGGTCAGGTACAAGAGTTCTATCTCACCCAGCTCTTCTGAAAAACAAGTACATTAATACACAGAGCGCACAGCTTGGTGCCTGGTACAGAGTCTGTCTTATACCAGATGTCTGGTAGCATCCCTAGTATTTTTAGATGCCACTAATCAAAAAGAATAGCAAGTTTTTGTTTTTTGTATCTGTCTCACTTATCACTACACCAAGCACATCTTAAGAATGACACTGGGTTCATCCCCCTCTCTGTGTGCTGGCTGGGCTGGCACTGGAAGAATCAGTGAAAAGCTAAATATAAGGCTGTGCCACCAGGGGGTACCAACACAAATAAGGCACAGTGCTGGTGCCTGATGGAGATGAAGGGCTTATGCCCATTGAAGCATCCCTCATGTCTGTGGGAAAAGTGAAATGGGAAGAAACCACACTCCGTGGGATGACGAAGACCACACGATTAGCCTGACTCAGGAGATCACAGCTGCCTCCCTACCGTGGTGATCAGCTACCAGCTAAATACTAACGAGAAGGCGTTTCTCTGCATCTGAGCTCATCTGTGACCCAGAGATTTACTCAATTAAAAGAGAACAATTCCGTTTCAACAGGTCTCAGAAAAACCACCAGATCTCTGCAGCCGGGTCTCTTTCGTTGTTGAGCTTACAGATCCTGCCTAAAGAACTTGTGGAGATGATGGAGTCGATCGGAAAACGTAACGACGTGAAAACCCAGCACCAGAAATATTCGCTTCTTTCATTCTGGTTCCTGGTAGGCTCTTAGGTCAATTTAACATGATTAATTTTCTTCCCTTAAGCCACCAGTAGTTAAAAAAAAAAGAGGGACATTTTAGAATGATCATGTTCTTGCTGGGAAATAGACGGGGTGGGGATAGATGATACCAATCTACCATTGAGTATGTCCTTGAGCAAAAATTAAATTTAAAGAGTCAAAGTTGTCTGCCTACTTAGGACTAGATTGTCTGAACCCCACACGTTCCTACACGCACCGCATCAGCTCAACCTCAGAAAGCTATTAGGCTAAATAGGCTTAACGACCCCCGATTAGTGAGTTTACAAGGAACCCTAAATAGCCTATTCCTTTTAATTAGAGATTCTATTATTTTAATAACAATACTTTATACTTACCTAGGTCCTTTCATCTATAGAGCTCAAAAGGATTTTACAACTTCGGTTTCATCATTATCCCCATTTCAGAGATTGGAAAATGGAGGCACTTAGTCACTTGTACAAACAAGAAGTGCTCAGCCAACTGCTCCAAAACTATTTGGTACCCAAGCTTTTCAAAAGCCCAGAGACACAGCTGCAACTGACATGTCCTCTTAAATGCCAACTGGCAAGCAAACCTTATAAGGTGAATGGCTAATGCCAAAATTTACTGAGATTCAGCTCTTCCTGACAATTAAGTTCAGTAATTACACTGTGTTACAATTTATTCCTGCAGAGAATAATGAAGTTCTCTAAGGGGAATTTGACCATTAGAATTTAGGGGATTTTTTTTTAATCTCAGAATTTGGATTTGTTTTTACTTATTATGCAATATTACTTTGACTAGCTTTATGCTTGTGGAAACTATGGGATATTTATTTTCCAAGTAAACTTTAAAAATTCAAAAACATCAACAAAAGCTAACTTATTAGTTGACTGCCAAAGCTAATCAGCATTTCTTCCTTAATAACTTTTGTAGGATGCTAAGAGAATTTCAGGGGCTCCACTATGAGGCTACCAGAAAGGAAAGTCTTTGGGAAGCACAAGATCGGGTTTAAACTCTAAAGACTCCCCTCAAACCATGAAAAAAAATTATCCCTGAAAGCGAGTACCTCACTCCAAACAACTGGAGGACATATGTCCTGCTTTGGGACAATTGACCCATCACAGAATGATAATTACTGAACACTTTTCAGCTCAGGCTCTAAGGACTTAGTCTGGTGCCCTAAGACTCAAAGAAAAAGTCCATCTAGCCAACATAACCAAAGCCATTCAAGGTTGGTATGCAAGCAGAATGGAATATTATTCAGCCTTGAAAAAGAAGAGATGCTACCATTTGCCACGACGGGGATGGACCTGGAAAGCATTGTACTAAGTGAAATGAACCAGTCACAGAAAGACAAATACTGCATGATTCCTTCTGATGAGGCATCAAAAGTAGTCAAAGGTATAGAAGTAGACAATGAATGGCAGGAAGCTGATACACAATGAATATCAAGTTGCAACAATACAAAGTGAGGAAGTACCAAAGCTCTGCTGTACAGCACTGTGCCTGTAGTTAACAAGGTACCATGCACTTTCAAATGTGCTATCAGGGAAGCAATTGTGTTAAGCTGTCTTACAAAAGCAAAAGGCTAAGAGGCAGAAGAAAACTTTTGAAAGTGATAAATATGTTTGTTACCTTGATTGTGGTGACTGTAACATAGATATCCATATGTCCAAATGCACCAACTTGTATGGATGTGCAATGTTTTGTATGCCAATTCTGCCTCACTAATGCTGGTAATAAAGGAAAAGTCTAATAAATTAATTTTTTAATATTTATTTTTTAGTTGTAGTTGGACACAACACCTTTATTTTTTTAATGTGGTGCTGAGGATCGAACCCAGGGCCTCGCACGTGCTAGGTGAGCACTCTACCGCTGAGCTACAACCCCAGCCCATAAATTAAATTTATAGCTACAGCAAACCTTGTTATCTAAGAAAACAAAACATGAACTTGCTATGGGAAAGCGTAACGGTCCTGAGTGAGTCAAGAAAAAGTAAATCACGGAGAAGAGGTGAGCCAGAGCCTAAGGATGGGGCCCTGGGGCGGCCATAGCCTTGACAGTGGCTGGGAATGGAGACCACGTACCCTGAGAAAGCTCTGCTCCTTCAGACAGGCCTGTGCACATGTGATGTCCTTGCAGCCTGGACTTAATTCTGGCTCATTGTCTTTTGGAGAAGGGGGTCCCTTTTGTTCTGACAGTAGGTCACTGTGACCCTACGTCCCTGTCACCTCTAGAGGAATATTTATAAACAGTCCCCAGCAAAGGGAAACTGCAGTTGTTCCTTCCATCCTGCATGCTCTATTCTTTCCAGCTCCACCTTTTAAAAATAAATTTGCTAGCCAGGTCAAAAATATGAGGGAGATATTGATAAGAAGAGTCAACAATTATATCTGATTACTAAAATCTGCCCCAGGAGTCTATAAAATGGAGATTCCCAACTTTTGAAAGTGGGAATCTTGTCATGGGAATTTTGTCATGTAATACTATAGAAGTATTTTAGGGATTTGGGGACAAAGACAGCCTACACCCACATCACGGCTACCTTCCCTTAGTGAATCCTCCTCAGACCCTCATGTAGCTTGATCATTCTCCTATGTTCCAGCATCATGTGAGAAGACAAGGATAAGGTGTTCTCAGAAGGAAAACGTCTGATGCAGAAGCCACCAAAGCACAGCATCCAAGGACTTCACTGCATTTTGTATTTGAAATGCCCCACCAGCCTCTGAATGGTGCATGGCTGCTAGAAACTGAGGGGACACACCATGAGGAGGACTTGAGAAGGTCCAGAAGAGCCAGAGGAAAGAGCAATACAGAGATTCCAAAGAAACAGCTGTGACAGAGACCAGCATCTAAAGGAGGGACACTGAGCAGATTTGGTAATGGGCACAGTTCAAAATCTGGACAAGAGTGGAAAAAAAAAAAAAGCCATTGTCACCTACTAACAACCCTCCCCCCCTGCTCACTGAGGACGCCGTCTTGCCTCGTCTCCCCAGAGCTGGCAAGGTCACATCCCAGGCATAGCTGTAGTGAGAAAGACGGAGCCTGTTTGAGCCGTTCAGATCTTGAGGAACGCTGAGGCCAGGCCTGCGGAATACCTGCCTGCCACTCTTGCCCCTGTCCACATGCCAAGCTGCACACACACACACCCCATTTAGCATGTGGGAACCCATTTCAGGAGAGGGCACCGAATCCATCCTGAAAGGACTTGTTCTGAGTTTCAAAGCCTACTCTCCAGCTCTTTAACTTCCCCTCCAACAAACAAGCCAAAGGTATGCTGGCGTGCATTCAAAACCAGGCTTGGCCCGTGTGATATTTATTTCGTTTCCATAACTGGATACACTGGAGGATATGATATAACCAGGACTTACTGAGCTACAAAACACATACACGTTTGCCTCCCGAGGCCTGGTCTGACAGTCTGTGTTAACTGTCTCGTCTCAGCGGAGACCCTCTCCACCAAGCTCTGAGCATGGCCCAGACCTGCCCAGAGGGGCCTCACCTGTGCACTTGCAGGTCCGGTTGAAGAACTTCCTTGGCCACTGCTCACGGTCATCCTGGTTTCGCAGGACGTACGGGCCACTCCAGGGCCTGGTGTCAGCTTGCACCTCTGCACACTGCCCGCGGCCCTCCTGTAAGCCACAGACGTTGGCTGGATTGGCACCCAGTGGTGGGCAGCACTCCTTGTTCACCAGGTTGTCCAAGGTCATGCAGACCCGGGGGAACTGGGCCCAGGCTCCAGGCAGGATTCTGCAGCCCAGGCACCCCAGCAGAAGCCCCCACTGCATGGGGCTCATGGCTGAGAACTGGGAGGACCCGGCACACTCCTCCTGTCTTGCCTTTCTCCTCCTTCCACTCTGGAATCCTTGAACATCCACTTGTCAAGTCTTTCTCTTTTTTGGTATTTATCGTTTTTGCATTCTATTCCTCTCCTCTAAAAAAAAAAAAAAAAAAAAGTACCCACAAAAATCAGAAGCTATGTGTGTGCCCGTGTGTACGTGCACACGCACATGTTATTTTATGATTCAAACAACTAACACAAATTTAATTTCATTAGAGGCACCTCTAACAGCCCAATTTAATGAGGGTAGCACTTCTCACCATCCTTACCCCGTTAAATCAGGCTTTGTCTAATTGAGTTAATTTACAGAGCGCCCCAGTCATACTACTTATTATGCTGCTATTTCTAAGCCTCCCTCTTTCCTCCTTAGTCCTTGACTTTAATTGCCTTGAACTCAGTTCAAAAGCCAAACACCGTGCTGCCTTTATTCTTTCTGGCCCGCCACGCCCGGGGCCTGGTGGGGTTTGTGTAAGGGCTGGGAGAAGCCATCATTAGGGGGATTAGTATTAAGAGAAATCCTCATCGTTAGCACATGACCCAAAGCGCACAATGAAGGAGATAAAGTTTCTGGCTTGGTTTCAGGAGGGCAAAACCATCCTCTTTATTGGACCCATGTGCTCCAGCCAAGCTTGTGACCTCAGACTTCCCAGGGAGTCAATAGATGCAGTGAGCTCTTCAGTCAAAGGCTCTTTGCAGACAAGCACGCATTGCTAACTACATCGCCCTCGTGACTGCTCATGATGTGCAAGAGAGATCACCACGGGAGGTCACACACTTTGGAAAAAAAAGAAATATTTATTTAGGACTGGTGTACAATGAGTTGCTTTGTTTCAAAATTATGAATTCTCTTCCTTCCAAATAATAATTTGTTCTTCTCTGTTCGGTGCAAATGTGAAGCAGACTTTTTAAAACATTTACGTGATCTAGCCCACCTCAGAAATCCATGATGGCCATTATCTAGTTACAAAGAAAAGGCCAGGGAAGAATTGGGAGGGAAGGCTCCCAGGTGAATCTGCTAATTTATATTAAAGCTAGGCATTATCAAGCGCCAGTCTAGAAAGCACCTCCCCGGTGCTCCTGGAGGACGCAAGCAAAGCACCAGAGGGACAGAGGTGGCCACCTATCAGAGCATCTGAGGATTCCTTCATGGAGAAACAGGACTGTATTAGTGTCCTAGGGTCTGTACAGACCGCTGACTGACACTGCCTCAGTGTTCATAAAAACACTTTATATCTGGACAGAAAGAGAACTGAGGTTAGATTTCAGAGCAAATTCTGAAGGTAGGAAAAAAAAAAAGATACAGGTATCCACCACCTGGACATCCATGTCCCTCACCATTGATATTGAGTTGTTGTGACCAATTAAATAGCAGTTCTCACGTCAGGCTCAATGTCAATGCTTGCCTGTAGCTCAGTCCCATGGAATCATAATCTGAGCAGTTTTTATACATCCTCTAGGCAATCCTACTCTACAGCCAAAGTTTCAGGCCACTGAGTGAGAACGAGGTACAGCCCCGAAGCCTGAGAGTAGTCTCCTCGGGCTCCTGTAACAGATGTTCACAAACTGGGTGGCTTAAAACCACAGAAATTTGTTTTCCCACAATTCTGGAGCCAGAAGTCTGCAACCCAGGTGTTGGCAAGGGCTGGTGTGTGTCAGCACTCTGCGTTCCCTCCAGCGCCCTCGCCCCTTCCAGCTTCTGGTGGCTGCCCGTGGGCCTCGGCTTCCCTGGCTGGAGTCTGCAGCACTCTGATCTCAGGGCATCCCCTCCCCTGTCTGTGTCTCTCCCCTCTGTGTCTGTATCTTATAAGGGCACTTGTCACTGGATTTAGGGCCCACTTGGATAATCCAGGATGATCTCATCTTAAGAATCTTAACTCAATTACATCTGCAAAGAAGACTCTTTCCAAATAGGGCCACATTCACAGATTCTGGGACATGGAGGGACCACCATTCAATTCATGACGTCAAGACTGGGGGAAAAAAAGAACTTGAATGACACATAATCATAACATCTCAGAGTAGGAAGGACATTCTGGATCTCGTTCTGACTAGTTACTGCCAGTACTGTAACACTTCGGAATTTTATTTTACATTGTATGAAGCTTTGGAGTTCCAGAAAAGTGAGAATCAAATTTCTTGAATACCGACTGATAGAGGCAGCAACGTCACATCAGAATGCCCCACCCCCTTCAAGGTCTAGGTCCTGGGACCTCTTTTCTTTCATTATGACACATGCTAGATCACTCAGTTCATCTGAGGCTCTAAATGCAGGGTGTCATGACTCCCCCAAATTGCATCTCTGGCCTGACCTCAGATGTGAACCCCAGATTTGCCTTTCCAACTTCCTATTTGACCCCTTGGAGGTCTAGACATCTCTCATTTAGAATGTTCAAAGCAGGACTTTTTCCTCCTTCTGTTTGTCCTCCCTTGGTCTTCTCCATCTTAGTAAACATTCGAATCATCACAGCCCTTGAATCTTTGACTCTTACCTTACCCCCTTCCTCACATATGCTTTCCAATGTACCTACCATATGATCCAGGGTTCTTTCCATGCATTGCTCTAATTGTGGTCTGTGGATCACATGAATAGTGTGTTACTGGTCTGCATCAAATACAAGGAGGACCAAAAGTGAGAGCCAGCCTTTAGAAACTTCCATAGCGATTAGCGGCACACACTGAGCACATGATCAGTAGTCTTATTAAAGAGGGCAGAAGACAGCTAGTGCGTTGTCAAATTTGCACAGTGATGATCATGTGGCATGAGCTGTAGATGGTCACGTGCATTTGGATTCCAGGTTGGTCTGTGATTAAAAATAGTTTTTTAAAAATTCCTTACCACAGACCGTTTGAGATCTGACTTATAAGATCCTCCGTGATCTGCCCCTTGCCCCTGCCTCTTGCTCTGCACTGGCAGAATAGTGCCATCACTCTGTTACTCACACGCATCCCTCCTGTTTCCACCTTGACCTTTATACTGCTGTTCCTTGTGCCTGGAATATTCCTGCTCAGAAGAAACCTCCTTGTCCCTCCTTGTCATTCGGGTTTCGCTCTTAAGCACGGCCTTCCCTTACAGCTCATCTAAGCACATCTACACCTACATCTAACCACCCGCTTTCTTCCATATTGCATTGTTTTATTTTTTGCATAACACTTAGTTATTCATTTATTATGTTGATTTTACAGTTGAGGAAACCAAGGCTGCAAGACCTTAGTTAGCAAACTTAGAACAGTTTTACCTGACCCCAAAATTCTTCATCTCCTACTCTATGCAATGTACAGGGATGAATTTCCTTCATTGCCTTCCGTGATCTCATTTAAATTATAAGGAACTATTTAAATTTAAATGCTTCTAATTTAAATGAATTATTTTAATATCACTACAGAAGCCCTCAGCAGATCGGATTATTACTAAGAAATCCTCATATTGATAGATGAAATTGATGGTACTTGAGAGAGGGTGGGGTCCCTACTAGCTTGTCATTAACTGAATTACCTTTGGATATCAAGCCATCAGCCTTTATGACGGGTGAGAAAATATGGGAAGCTTGTAAGGTATTTTTTATGTCATCTGATACACCTTACAGTGGACAGATTTCTCTCAGCACTCAGTATCCAGAAAAGCTGCATATCCTCATAGCAACCAGCTTGTCCTGAGCATTCAGGGACTGTCAATCTCATGAGTTTCTTTCTTTGCCTTGGCCACTTAGGAGGTGTAATGCCAAACCTGCAGCCCCCACATCATGCAGTATTTCTGCAGTATTTAGTTGGATATTTTCCCTCCCTTGTGTTCCTGAGTTCTGGGATTCTTATTTTATCTTTTTGAAAATTTATGTATTTCTCCAGCTGTCTCAAATCCTTTGAGAAATGAGGCAGAGTGGTACATGAATGCACACGTATATTTCTATGTGAATCTAAAAGTAATAAACATCCAGCCAAATCATTGTTGGTAAGCAAGACACAACTTAGAAAAGAATTCAAGAAGAATCCCTGAGAAATTGATGTCCATAAACTCAGATCTAAGGACGTAAGCCAAGAAGATCCCAGATCATAGTTGTGGTTGCAATTAAGCATTGCCTTATTTACATAATGGAGACTCTGATGGGAATTGAATATCAGAATCCAACAGGAGGTAGTTCAGGGTGTATTGAGACTTTTTGTTGCCAAGAAAAGCCATAAAATCAAGGATTGTTAGAAAGAATTTTGAAACCCAGTAAAGAAAGGCAGCTGCATTTTATGGAACTAAATAAACTGAATAGAAAAGTACCCTTTTCACTATTCCTTTTACCCTCTCTTTTAAAAATTGAGGCAAGACTCTAAATACTTAAAAAAAAAAAAAAGATGACCTGCACATTTTCATTTTGCATTTCAGCATGTAGCTCCATCTTGCCCATAAGAAAGACTCAATGCATGTTGATGGAAACGAATTGAATTAGGTACTTTAGAGAATTAAGAGTGGGTGATGCAGGTTGGGCATGCAAAACTTTGGAGCAGGATGACAGCCCCCGCCTTCCCTACATTCAAAGGAAAAAAATGGCTCCAAACCTGGTGAGCTATTGAATCGGATGGTAAATGTCTTAGGGCCGTTGCTAAGATTAATATGAGAAAGCGTGCACATCTTTCTTCTGCTTGACAGCAAGTCGCCTGCTCTTTTCTCCCATGCCTCTGAATGTGAAAATCCTCCCCATTTTTTAGCCCCCTGCTGGACTCTGTCGGATGCTTTTTGATCTATTCTCTGCTGCCACATCATGGGGAAATGAGATTATTTTTTTCCTGTGTCCAAATTGTTTTCTAAATGCCGGGCGTCTGTCCTGATAAGCTTTTGCTTTCTACATCTAAGAGCTTTTCTTTTCCTTGTGGTGTGAATTGTTCTTCAGAGGAATTAAGGGTTAGGAATGGGCTGTGTGGTTTCCGTTTTGTCAATCGAGTGCATTTTCTCCCTTTTGCACGACTTTATGGGTAGTGGATCCTTCTGACTGTGTGTATACATCAAACGCACCTTTAATTTCACATTTTGCATCGCTCGTCTTTGTATTCCTCTCAGTTCTTTGTTGAGCACACTTGTGCCCTCCAGTGCCCATTTTATTTTCTTGGTT